GAGCATAATGCTATCCATGTATACATGCATGGTGGGCAGAAAAAGGACTCTAGGGTGGGGATCCATGACAGTTCCGTTTAACATTCATTTGACACATTTGAATTTGATTTGAAATTTTGTGGATTTGTCAGTCTTTACGGAGCTTATTTTATGTTATTTATTATTTATTCTACTACTGATAGTTGTATAAAGGTAGTAAATCTAGATGGAAATTGTGGCAGAACTTAAATTAACAGTGACACTATCGCGATTTATCGAAAAAGACTCTAAAATAGTTGGTTGTGTAGCGTGCAGTAGATCTCGGCAAAAATTGAGTGAAATAATGGAACAACTTTTCGCTAGTAAGTGACTATATAATATACATACGTGTAGTAAACCGGTCATTTATGAAATTCGCTTAAATTAACTAATTATATATTTTTTCTTGCATTTTTGCTTTTATTTACTACTTGTCAAAGATTAGATGTCAAATAATTTAGAGACGTCAATTTGACTTACCTGCTTCAGTAGCGCATCGGATGTTTGTGTTAATAAATAATTATTATAACTTAAAACAACAAATTATTGAGTCTACCCCACGTCTACCCTTCATCATAGTTTTACATTTTTTAAATAAAATTAGAACGGCACTGATAAACCGGAATTTGTCGGCCATATTTGAGTCCCATCGCGGTGGACCTAAGATTTTTGATATACTCCTTCTTTAGTCTTCTTATTCAAAGGTCAAATTATGTCAAATAACCTGCGTTCAGGAAAATAATAAACATTTTCGAATTCCTTTTGCACTTTGGTTCGTGTTATTATAGTCTGTCCAACGAGAAGATCCATGACAGTGATAGATGTGTCTGTCATTTTAATTTCAAAGTAGTTTATTTTATTTTACAAAGAAATAAGTTGGTACAACTGGAACGCATAGCAGGAAATATTTAAAATTTGACTGACAAGTGATTACTTCAAAATATTGTGAAAAAAAACTGCATAAAACTGAAAAAATGTAATCGAGTTATTTTATTTAATCAAAACGGTATGTGTTAATACAAAACAAACACGAACAAGACACCATATACCAAAAAAATAGAAAAAAAAAACTATTTCTTACTTTCAAGCTTTATGAAACTTCCCGCATTTATGATTATATTTATCAATATAACTTATACATATATACAAATACAAATTTGTTATATTCCACAGGAATAAATAAAACAACATAAATAAAACAAACTATTTTATTAATAATAATACTTACCAAATTTTATACCTTAAAGGTTGATTAATTAACTTTAATCTTAATATTTTTAAACCAGTACCTTTTGACATTATTTTTCTGCAGTACTAAAATCCATTATTTACCTATCGTGTGATGTCGATATTTTACAGCTACTCCAGTTTTTAGTATGTGTTTAGTATGGTCCTACTATATTCGAGATGCACTTATCTACGACAAGATGGTATACGAACTTTATTGAGGGTAACTTTATTGGTGTATAAGACTTTCTGCTTGGGCAGCGAGTATTAACCATACACTGTGCTCTGGGTCTATAGTTAATTTTCACTCAATTTTTCCTCCACTTGACTTCAAAAGACACAAAACACAGGTAATAACACGAATCAAAATGCATCATCTTCCAAAACGCAGGGTATTTGACAAAGTTGACACAAGTTGACACAAAATTATAACCTATAATTTGGCAAGACTTTGACAAGCGTCAAAAATCTAAAGGCGAGTTTATACGCATCGGCGTCCGTTTGTCGTTCATCGTTCCGTCAAACCAATAAAATTGAAATACGATCTGTCATTTTTGAAATAAGCCAATAAAACTGGTTAAAAACAACAAGAGACGACGCATGACGGATTTATATTTAAACCCATCCATAGTTAACTTAAAAATTATTAGAAACTTTTTTTAGTAAAATAAATAGATTGGTATGGGACGTCATCTGTTTTTCTTCTGTCATCGTCTGTCGAAATCTTACCTGAGAAAAAAAACAGAGTTTACGTACGTTTTGTTTTTTAAAGTTAAGTGGAGAAAAAATCGAAGAAAACTTAAGTGTAGACCCAGAGCACAGTTTATATTCGGTGCGCAGAGAGTTGTATTAGTCAAAATTAGCAGCGCCTCAAGAGCATTCTGGAAATTAAAAGACAGGGTTTTCTACAATCATGACTTGGGCACAAAAAGGAAACTTGCAATGTACCGAGCAATAATAATCCCTACCATGTTATATAGAAGCGAAACCTGGCCGTAACGCTGACACACGAGCGCATTAGACCAGTTGCAACAGAGACACCTTAGACAACTGTTAAGAATCAAATGGTACCACCATGTCTCCAACGTAGCAGTCCATGATTACTAAATTTCGCTTAAGATGGGCTGGCCACGTATGCAGGATGCAAGAAAACCGCCTACCGAAATCTCTTCTTTACGGTGAACTTGTAGAGGGTAAGAGGAAACCGGGTGGACAACTCAAAAGATACAAAGATATTTTCCATGAAAACTTAAAGGGGATAAGTATGCAGCATCAGTGGGAGGAAGCAGCGCACAGTAGAACGCAATTGAGGAGAATTGTAAACTCAGTTAACAACGATAACCAAAAAGTAAAGAGGCAACAAAGTAATGGGATTTTTGAATGTCCGGAGTGCGGAAGAGAGATAACATCACGTATCGGGCTTTTCAGTGACAGAAAAGCTCATGAAATAAAACGCCTTACGTAACCTAAGATAAAGTTCATTAACTTTTAAGGTATAATATTCAGTATCTGTGAATTATTTAAATTATTATTAATAAAATATGTTTTTCTATTTATGTTGTACGTGGTGTTTTGTTTAATATATAGGGTGGCCCATCGAAAACGTTCCGCAAGGCATAACGGCCAGGGTATTATTTTTTTCATAAAATCCAAAAACACGTCAATTTTGTTTGTGAGGGGGACAACTTTTGCCCCAAAAATGATTGCAAAATCTTCAACCCTCTGAGCGGGGGTGTCATCCCCGAACTTTTTTCAAATGGGAAGGGGGGTCAAGTGGCGCCGCAATGAAAAGAGCTTTCTATTCTCTATATTTCCCCGCCTCCTCTATATTTCCCCGCCTCGTTTTTGAAAATCGGTCGAGGCATTGAGAAAATATGAAGGATTGAAATTTGAAAAGAGTTTATTTAAAATTTTATCAGAGTAAATGATAAGGATAAATTCCTTTGACCAATCTGAGTTTTTTTCTTATTATTTCTAGATGTTTAGCATTTTTTCACGTGCCACAATGTTTAACGATCAGGTGCGGTAGTTTATAGATAGCTGTTCTGTGACTTGTGCGTTGAAGTTCTTCTCAATATCGTTAAACTGACCCACAATAGAATTTCCAAAAATACCAGCACACACATTCAATTTCTGAGGGTTTTGTGTGTTCACCTCGTGAAAAACCCTGGGGTTGTCCTCAGCCCAGTACCGACAACTGTGCCGATTAACTACATCGTTCAAAAAGAAAGTACACTCATCCAAAAAACACACATTAAATAGGAAATTATTATCATTCGCCACTCATTCACTCATAGTTTCACAAAATTGCAAGCGACGATCAAAATTGTCTTGGTTGAGTTCTTGTACCACCTGAATTTTGTACGGGTGGAACTTGTTTTTTTTAATATCCTTTTGACATTTTTGTACGATTCACACCGGTCTCATTGGCTAATTTTCTTGTACTCAGCGTACTATCCATGGCAACTTGGCCCAATACGAATACCTCCATAGCTTCATTTACTACAGGATTTTCCCTCTGCCTTTTTTTATTCATAACAAAACCAGTTTCTTGAAATTTTGCTACTAACTCGCGAACAATTTTGCCATAAAGGTGTTTGTCAGGATGGCCTTCGTTCAATATCTGCGCAAACCGATTGCCACATTCATTATTTTTAAAATAAAGTTCGATTATTTCCACTTTTTCTGCAAGTCAATTTTTGCAACACCATAATAATTGTCAAAAAGTTAAACGATATTGAGAAGAACTTCAACTCATAAGTCACAGAACAGCTATCTAGCAACTACCTCACCTGATCGTTCAACCTTGTGGCAAGTGAAAAAATGCGTAAACATCCAAAAATAATTAGAAAAAACAGCAAATTGGTCGAAGGAATTTGCCCTTATCATTTACTCTGATAAATGTTTAAATAAACTTTTCAAATTTCAATCCTTCATATTTTCTCAATGACTCGACCGATTTTCAAAAACGAAGTTGGAAAGTATAGAGAATAGAAAGCTCTTTTCATTGCGGTATCACTTGACCCCCCTTTTTTTGAAAAAAATTGGGGGATGACACCCCCGCTTAGAGGGTTGAAGATTTTGGTTTGGTTTGGTTTGGTTTTATTATATGGTTAATTATTTTTGGGGCAAAAGTTGTCTTCCCCTCACAAACAAAATTGACGTGTTTTTGAATTTTCTGAAAAAAAATTACCCTGGCCGTTATGCCTTGCTGAACGTTTTCGATGGGCCACCCTGTATAGGTACCCTTGTTTGTTTTGTATTAACGCACACCGTAAAATTTTTATTTTCAAGTGCAATAACTCGATTAGATTTTTTTCAGTTTTTTAGAGTTTTTTGATAATATTTTGAAGTAATTTGTTGCTAAAATTTTAAATATATTAATTTCTTGCTTTGCGTTCCAATTGTACCAACTTATTTCTTTGTAAAATAAAATAAACTACTATGAAATTAAAATGGCAGACACATCTATCACTGTCAAGGATTTTGTCGTTGGACAGACTATATCTGGAGGTATAATACTAACGTAGTTAATATAAATAGTAAACGTTTTGAAGCCAAATAATACTCAAACTAAAAATTAAAATAAAATTGAATTGTTTAAAATATTTATAATATAATAAAAGTGGCTTAAAACGATTTTTAAAATATATTTTATATTTTTATAAATTTATTTTTTTTATATTTTTTGGGAATGTTTATGATTTCGTTGTCACTCACTCTAACATGTTATTAACAAATATTTTTCCTTCCAGTTGACGTGACATTTATAATCGACATACTCATCAATTTTCGAACGACGTATGTCTCCGGAAACGACGAGATCGTCTCGGATCCGGGCAAGATAGCGATTCATTATTTGAAAGGCTGGTTTCTAATAGACCTGGTGGCGGCCGTTCCATTCGACTTGCTCTTCTTCGGCAGCAACACTGACGAGGTAAGTGAACTGCGTGTTTCTGTTGCATTTGTCGAAATTGTTTAGGTTTACCTTACGTTACAGCTACATTTCTGATAAAGTGTTTACTATATAGCCTTGACTACGGATATAATTTTCAATGAATGTTTTAGTATGAAAACTCCCTTGGATAAAAGTTGATAAATTAATATAATTTAACGTCGGTAACATCCCTAGATCATATATACTTACGTGGATACATAAATAAATATGGAAACTAACTCAAATATACAGGGTGGTCCGAACTGTATTCCGGAAACTTTGGCAGCATATTCTGCAGATTAAAATAAGTGAAAAAGTTCGTATAAATGTATGTCCTAAAATGCTTTGTTTCGGAGATACAGGGTGTAGAAGTTTCACTTTTATTTCGATTTTTTCCAAATAATTTATGAAGTAATGTCAATATTTGGATGAAAATTGGTGTCTGGGAGTTTTTTGACACGAGAAATTTGATTTTCTTACCAATATGACTGCTACATGTAGAGGGCGCCACCTACATATGTTTTAGTACCTACATATTTAGTTTAGTTATTTGGCGGATTGGTTAGCGTGGTTATTTGGAGGGTGTTAATTCATTGGCTAGTTGGTTATTTGGTGGGGTTGGTTGATTTTTACTAATTTATATTTGTTTTTTATATTTTTTATCAGTGTCGAGGTTAATTGCGTTGGTTAAGTTGGTTATTTGGTGGGGTGGATAGCATTGGTTAGTCTTTATAAAATTCCTATATTTCATAAAGCCGTCAAGTGCGTCACATCAACGACGTCATACCTATTAACGGCATTTTAGTAAGCTACCGTTTAACAGCAGTTTAAGTACAGCCTTTTTTATTACATACTTAAATTCTCTGTAAAATTCTATGAATATTGATGTTAACACTCTATATCTAACATCAACCGTTTTTGAGAAAAAATTATTTAAAATTTTTGGACGAAAAAAACTACCTGTCAAAAAAATTTGTATAGCCTAAAAGTCAAATTTAGTGATTACCACAGCCACTGTGACATCAAGAGAATACATGTGGCTATCTATTTCAAAAATCAACTTGTTCAAATGTCATATAATAATGGCGGTAGCTGTCATGGAAATGAGTGATAAAAAAATTATCATAAATTATTTTTTTCAAATGGAAACCCACTTTTTTTATTTCACTAATGAAAGAGTTTTTCAATTCGTTTCTTTTTAACTAAACATGTTCCTATACCTAAAATAAATCGTTTTTAAGTTATTTAAGATAGAGTTTGAAAACTTTTATTTTCCTTAATTTTATCGAGCTTCCTTTGACATTAAATGTCCAGACAATTTATTTCCATCTGTCAGAAAACAAATTATTTGAATTTTCTATAATATAAATACTGCCTGCCTTAAGGGTTTAAAAAGTGTATTTATAAAAATATATCTCGTATTTTCGCTCTTTAGTGATATCTAATAGCTAATATTATTAATAATATTCCGTATGATCGAAAAAAAAGCGCAAAGTTGGCTTCAAAAAGATGCTGCTTATTGAACAAAGCATCACAACATGACATGGCCAGGTCCAAGCCAAATCTATTATTTTACCTCACTTGACGTTTAAAGTCATAGGCTACTGGTTAAAATCAAGAAAAATATACGTTTTAAAACTAAATCTTCAATAACTCAAAAACGATTTATTTTAGGTATAGGAACATGTAAAAAATAATTAAATCGAATCCAATTTTTTTTAAGTTTCTCAAAAACGGTGGAGTAGGGGGATACGAATTTTTGAATTTAAGCTTTTCCAGTGGACCACTTGGACTGGCAAAGTATGAGAGCGGGTGTAATTTGATGGGAGTTAAGGTGCCAGATTGACTGTACTAAAACCTATTGAACGTTTAATAAAAGTAAAATAAAGAAGGTTTGAAAAAGGCATATCGTGAAGTTGAAGACATCCTTTTTAATGCTTATCGTATGGCGTTGATATATCCACGTAATTATAATGATCTAGGGTAACATTCATTCGAATATTATTTTGCTGGGGTATATTTTATTTGTATCTTTCGTTTGCAATGTTACGTTATCTTGGGTTCGAATTTATGAAATAATTGGTGGTGATTAACATTCGTTCAAAATAAACATATAGAGAAATCCATAAAAGTTGGAGTGTACGTCTTCAAAGACCTCGAAATTATTACCAAATTCAATTTCTAATAAATAAAATAATTCATATCAGATTTGGGGAGCGCGTTTTTCTTTTTCTAATAATCCTTTATATCTTGGTTAAAACGGCACACTGGCACTGTGGCATCAAGTAAACTGATTAGCCGATAAAAAAGGCTTTATGTTGGTAGTCATGGCAAATGTTGCCGGTTGTCATGCGATTTTTCCTTAAAAATCTGATATTTTATTTTTTATATATTAAAATGCCAAAACCATTATACAGGGTGCTACAAATTCGAGGTACGAGCATTGGTATATCGGTAACCGTAATAGATACGAAGATTATTAAATTGGGGCAAAGTTGCTCCTTGGCATGTTCATCAAGATGCCATCAAAAAAGTTTTGAAAATTTCAAGGATTGCTGGGTTTTTTGGAAAAAACGATTTTTTTTGAAAATCAATTTTATTTTTTTCTGTCGTTACTTTTTAAAAAATCAAAAAACTAATTGCACATTCTTATTAGTAAGCCACTTTATTGGGGCTTTCTGATGGTATTTTTAGATTTTAAATTAGCTGATAATTTGTGAGATTCAGAGGCCAACTTAATTTTGTTAAATACGGACCTGAATTTTTTATTTGAGATTTTGAAAGAACTCGGTCTACTGAGTACAATGATATGCCACACTTATACTTATTTTTGGTTTCGGTACCTTAGCAATAACAAAACTATTTTATTGTTATTTAAAATAATTTCAAGTCCGATTCTGGTTTTTCAATTTATTTAATCGGATTATATTCATCACAACAATATTGATCAGCGCTAATTAATATTGAATAAAGAAAATCAAATTGAAAGATTCAAATAATTAATTTCCAGGTCAGCAATTTAAAGATATTTTTTTAATTTTTTTTTATTGTGATTTGAAATCTCAGTGTACCATCTAATAATATGCACAATATTAATCGAACTTATTATAAATAAATCAACTTCTACAAACTAGTTTCTAATAAATATACCGGTGAATACTAATAATACTAATAAATAAAGTGTTACCATGCACCCTCCATAATGGACAAATTTATTTTTCGTTCAATCTTGTTTATAGCAGTTTGAACAGATCTTGTACTTATACTTCCGAATGCATTTTATACTCTTTATTTGTTTTTAATTGTTCGTTAATTGTTTTGTAGTATTAATGTTGAAATGTATTGATTTCACTTTTCCAAATGACGTCAAGTAATGAGACAGGTCCGGGAACCTCGCTGGCCATTATACTGCTCTACCATTTCCAATCTTCCGAGGAAATTATTTGATTGTTTATATTATATTATATTATTTATATTATTTATTTTATATTATTTTTATTATTTTACTGCACTTGATTTTCCGTATTCAATGTTTTACCCCACGTCATTGTTAAGCTTGAAAGCTTAACAACATGGTAACGATGAACAGATTAAATATTTAAAAAAAACAGAGCCGGACTTGAAATTAGTTTAAATAAATTGTGTTCAAAAGTCCAAAACAAAAAAAAAAGTATCTAGTGTGGCATATCATTGTACTCAGGAGACCGAGTTCTTTCGAAACCTGAAATATAAAATGCAGGTCCGTATTTAAAAAAAAATAAGTTGGCCTCTGCATCTCACAAATTATCAACTAATTTAAAAATCTAAAAATACCATCGGATAGCCCTAATAAAGTGGCTATAAGAATGTGCAATTTGTTTTATGATTTTCTAAAAAGTAACGACAGGAAAAAATAAAATTGATTTTCAAAAAAGCCGTTTTTTCTAATAAACTCAGCAATCCTTAAAATTTTTAAAACTTTTTTGATGGCATCTTGATGAACATCTTATTTAACCATGTTCGTATCTATTACGGTTATCGAGACACCAATGCTCGTACCTCGAATTTGTAGCACCCGGTATAATCGAAATCAGCAACTTGTCTCTATCACAAACTAATTTAGGTTGTAATTTATGTGTAACTAGCGTGTACCAGCGACTTCGTTCGCGTCGAATTAATCATTTGTAATGGTGATGATAAAGCAAAGCAAAAATTTCCATTAACATACAAACTGGATAAAATTTTCTCACATTTATATCAGCATCCGAAAAAACAATATGGCGATATTATTATATAACTTGGTAATATTTGAGGGGTAGTTTCATCTCTTTGGAATTTGACTTTCCGGAAAAATCCGTTTGCCAAAAATAAGCTTTTTACGTCAAGCAGTTTAAGCAGAATCGTGGTTAAGAAATTACCCAACTTGTTGGAACACCCTGTATGATTTTATAAAAAATTTCAAAATATTTAAAAAAAACCAAATAAATTATGCTTGGCCAAGCGTTTTCCCGAAAGACTAACCGTTTTATAAATAACAAATATTGTAATATTTGAGGGGCGTTTTCACCCTCTTGGAATTTGAGATTCGAGAAACCCCTCCTTATCGAAGCTCTACACCCCACAGTCAATCCGTTTGGCAAAAATCAGCTTTAAACGTTAAGCAGTTTAAGCAGAATCGTGATTACTCAATGGTCATATTTTATGAAACACCCTGTATAAATTTATAAAAAATCTTAAAATATGTAAAACAACAAAATAAAATATACGTGTTTAAGAGTTTTTCCGAAAAACTCACTTGTTTTGAAATAAAAAATATTTTAATATTTGAGGGATAGTTTCACCCCCTTAGAATTCGAGTTTCGAAAAATCTCTTCTTATCGAACCTCTACACCCTAAAGTCAATCTGTTTTCTAAAAATCAGCTTTTTACGTCAAGCGCTGTAAGCAGGATCGTGATTAATCAATGACCAGCTTTTTAGAAACACCCTGTATACGTTTTTAAAAAATCTTAAAATATGTAAAAAACAAAATTAAATATACGTGTTTAAGCGTTTTTTCGGAAACTTGACCGTTTTTTAAATAAAAAATATTGTAATATTTGAGGGGTCGTTTCACCCTCTTGGAACTGGAATTTCGAAAAATCCCTTCTTATCGAACCTTTACACCCTAGAATCAACCTGTATGCCAAAATTGAGCTTCTTACGTTGAGTGGTTTGAGCAGGATCGTGATTAATCTGTTTGTCAGTCACTTAAGGATTTTATATATTAGTATAGATTTAGGTTAGTCTGTGTATATCTGTGTAGTAATATTTTGATCACGTACACACCAACTTTTATTCATTTTCCTATATTGTAGAGCCTATTTAACCCGATTATTTGAATTACAAATAGAAATACAAATGCTAAAGGGGGTTTTCATAGTAAAATAGATCTATTTTTAAAAATAGCCCCGCTGATATTCAATAAAGTTCTAAGAATAAATTGTCTTCTCTAAACTTTCATTGGTTGGATTGATTTTCTAGCCCTATCATAAAACCTTAATATTTTATTTTCTTTAAGACTTTAAAAATGTTACTCCCCACCAATTTAAATATACAAGGTGATATATCCAATGTGTAATATGAATAATACATTTTTCTCGCAATGTATTCTTCATAAAACTACTTTAAAGACAATCCGGGAACATACTGTATACAATCTGATACGAAAATGACACTTACAGGTACTATACCGAGCGTTTCTTAAAAGTGGCTCACTCCTACTTTTTCAGATAAAGAAACGAGATTTAATACGTTAATATATGACATAAATCTGGATTGATTGACGTATTAAACTGTTTTCGATCACTTCCTGTTTCACCGGAAATGACTAAAACTTTTGATTTTTAAATGACATGCTCGGTATTTTATTAATTCGGTAGAAAATTACACTCTAAATAGGATGACATATCATATGTCACTTTTGACATTTCCGACGGATATTTCCTTGAAAGTAGATAACTAAAAATACATATCAATCTTATAATAATACGCAGTATGGTACATTCACCTTGTATATTTCCTTGTATTTATAAAAAATGGTCTTAATGTAATACATGTTGCATTTTGATAAAAATATATTTGGAATGTTTGTTGCAACAATATAAATGTTTGATGTTAGTATTTATTTTTTATGTTATATAACGTAAGATATTTTTGAAGTAGCATATTTAGAAGTGGTAATTTTTAATTTATATAATGAGAAGACTTTGTCGACCTTTGTACCGTGTAATACAAAAAAAGGCGTTAAAGACCGTTGGGAGTGACAATTTATGATAATTTTTGCGAGGTCAATCTCGAAACATCATTTACTAAGAATTGTAAAATCTTGTCAAAAATATAACACTAATAATAGAAAGATAAAAAATGATAGAATGATTCTAGGCACACATCTATTTTCAAAAAAAAAATCTTGCATTGTAAACTTAACCATTTAAAAACCATTTTTTCTCAATTTAAAAATAACTTACCTTACAGCGTTTTCAGATGGAGCGACCCGTCCGCGACGGACGGCCCATCGTGTTTTTTCAACATAGCCGTCGGACAAACTCCGTCGGACGGAGCAGACGCGCGCATGTGAAATTGTTCATATAACCTCATGGTACTTGCTCGAACTCACCGACTCTCCGTCGCGGACGGCCCGCTCCATCTGAAAGCGCTGTTATCCTTCTTAACAGCGCTTTCAGATGGAGCGGAGCGTCCGCGCGTACATTCAATTTCACATGGGTCGCGTATGCTCCGTCCGGATGTCTTAAAAAAACATCCACGCGGACGCTCCGCGCCTACGGTCCGCTCCATCTGAAACCGCTGTAAAGTCAACAGACAGTAACAGCGCTTTCAGATGGAGCGGAGCGTCCGCGCGTACCGTCCGCGAGTTCCATGTGTTTAAATGAACAATTTCACATAGGTCGCGTATGCTCCGTCCGGATGAGCTATCTTGAAAAAACATCCGCGCGGACGGACGCGGACGGTCCGTTCCATCTAAAAGCGCTGTAAGCGTCATTAGAAATACAGAAGAGTACGGACCAAGTAAACGATATCTAGGGGTTGACCTCGCCAAAATTTCATCGAATAAATATATCATTCCTCAGCCGTCTTTGACGCCGTTTTTTTTTTGCTCGTATGATATTTCTTCTTACTAAAATTAATTATTTATTTTTGACATTTCGTATCGTAATTGGTAAAACAGTGATTTTTGTAAGTCGATACTTTTTTTAAATCAATTTTTTCAATTCTTTTCTATAGTTGGGCTTGGATAAGGATGAGGTAGAGAGATATAGTTTTGAATCGCTTATATTTTTCTATTATTTTCAGCGAAAATTTAGGACAACAGTGTAACTATATTCGAAGGGTATTTACTTATTGCACCACGTTATAAAGGATTGAGTTTAAATTATGTTTGAACACTTCGAGTATAGTTTGAAGCTAATTTTTCATTATTAAAATTCACAATGTTTACATGGACTCTAATCAACATTACCTCTACATACAGTTAAATTTGAGTATTGCTTGGATTATTTTGTTGAAGTTTTATGCACGCTGTATTTTGATATGCTATCTTTTATATTGGAATGTTTTTTGACCAATTATACGCTTATACATTTAAAACATATAATATATCCGAACCTCTTTCAACGAATTATATATTTTGGTAATTTTTGATTGTTTAATTACACTCAGATGCAAAAAAACGCAACGGAGAAAATTTTGGTCAAACTTAAATTGTTATATTTTTGTTATTTTTAGGCCTATTTCCATGAATTTTTTAGCAAGCTGTATATAATTATATTACCTTTAATTTGTAAACTCAGTTTTTTATAAACTTTAGTATTTGGCATATTATACAGGGTTAAGCGAGAGGTTGTTTTCTTACCCTAACTTTGACATACCCTATGCGATAATTTCGTGTGTAAATTTTCCTGAAATATAATTTTAGGGTCAGAACCATGTCTCCTGAGCATTTTGTTTTTTGGATCATGTCAATACATGCCTTGGTTAATTTTTAAGAGCGAAATGAACTTGCCACCAACAATTTGTAATTTTTTCAATTATAATTTATTTTTGAAGTTTTTTTTCAATATGACAAGGCAGCTGTGGTGATTATTGTGAACTATACAGGGTGATTCCTGTAAGTCGGTCATGCTTTCGGGGAATGATAGAGGACGTCGAAATATTAATTTTGATTTAGCACACTATGGGTCGGAAATGCCTCTTACGCAAGATACAAGGTGTTAAAGTTTTTGAAAAATTAAAGATATTCTTTAATAATATTTTAACAACTGAAGGTATCGTTATAAAATTTTATTATAGGAGTCTACCTAACAAAGACACTTTAAAGGTAAAAAGAAGAGATTTTAGTTTTAACCAGTGGCGTAGATGTTATACGCATCAGGTAATTTTGGCAAAAAAAAATACGCCACTGATAAAAAATAAAATTTTTAGAGTTTTTTTATTTACTCGGTTTATTTCCAAGCAAAAATATCTCTTGCAACTTTCTCCTATCTAACACCATTTTGTCACAATTTAAAAATACATACATTTTTAATGAGAATCTTAAATACAGCGAATAATTATAACTAGAGGGCAGAAACACATGTGCAGATGTGCATCGTCAGCTCCCTTCATAATTTATGTACATATGAATTTAAATAGGCCAAGGTTTAGCTCCTTAAATAAATTTTTAAAAAATTATAAATTTAAACTAGATTTTTTTTATTGTCAATAATAAAATTCATAGTTTTAAGGTAGTTATAATAATTCGCATATTTAAGGTTCCCATTAAAAAATTATTTCTTTTTAAATTGTGACAAAATGATGTTAGATAGAAGAAAGTTGTAAGAGACTTTTTTTCTTGGAAATAAACCAAGTAAATAAAAAAAACCGAAAATGTTATTTTTATCAGTGGCGTACTATTTTTTTTGAAAAAATTATCCGATGCGTATCACATCTCCGCCACTGGTTGAAACTAAAACCTCTTCTTTTTGCATTTAAAGTGTCTCTGTTAGGTAGACTCCTATAATAAGATTTTATAACGATACCTTTAACTGTTAAAAAATTATTAAAGAATTTCTTTAATTTTTCAAAAATTATAACACCCTGTATCTTGCGTAAGAGGCATTTCCGACCCATAGTGTGCTATATCAAAATTAATATTTCGACGTCCCCCATCATTCCCCGAAAGCATGACCAACTTACAGGAATCACCCTGTATACTACCACAGATTATACAGATTATAAACTTTGTTTTTTCTTTATTGTTTTTCGTGGTTCCAATTTTCGGAATCGAGCACTAGTTAGGTTACTAGTTTACGCACATAGCACGCCCACTTATGGCCTCTAAAATTGTGCACAGCGCCTGACCAGGACAGTTATTAGAGAGATATCGGAAAACCGAATAGCGTCATGCAGTATTTACGCGTACCTTATCATGGTTACGATATGCGCGAGTCAATTTTTAACGCAACACCCGCTAATAACGTTACCGTCTGACGCAGTTCATTTCGCTCTTAAAAAATAACCAAAGCATGCATTAAGGATAAAAAACAACCCCTCGATTAACCCTGTATAATATGCCAATTACTAAAGTTTACAAAAGACTGAGTTTACGAATTAAAGTTGATATAAATATGTACAGTTTGCTAAAAAATTCATGCAAATAGGGCTAAAAATAACAAAAATATAACACTTTAAATTTGACCAAAATTTTCTCTGTTGCTTTTTTTTGCACCTGAGTGTATAAAATATCGATATTACAGGGTTACTTTTTTGAAAAAAATATATAAATAAATATTTATTATAATTTTCTTTGTACATTATATTTTATTTATGCGTTTGGTATTTATTTTTTATGTAAATATTATTTTAATTAAATTTTTTTATTATTTCTCACAGGATTCGCAAAGTATTAACGAAAAGCAACAGGTAATCAAAAGTAAATATGTTACTTGTTTTGGTGTCACATTCAGTTTTTTAAATATCATTAGCAGGTTTCTGTTTGCTTATTTTAATGCCCATTATTTCTACTAACTAATTATTTACCAAGCAGAAGCATAATGCGTGATGAAAAGTATAATTAACTAATACATTAATTTTAATAACAAATATTTAATTAAGTTAAGTCACAAATTACATATTTTGCCATAATTCTTTAACTTAATTAGTACCTATCGTATTAATACTTTTGTAGTATAAAGTATGTTTCGTTGAATTTATTATAAATATTTAACAGTTTTATATTAGCTTTTTAATAACATAATAGTTATATTGTAATAAAAGGAAAAAGAATAACAAATATCAAGCTATCAATAGTAAAATAATAAGCTTTCCAATTAAATAACAATATTCGTCCCTGTTGGCTTTCATGTTCAAGTTTATACAGAGTGAACATTAAATAGTTGTAAATATTTTAGGTGTAGTATATTTCGAGCCCAGAAACACGGCTATGAGGATTTTTTCGCAAAAAAAATATTGATTTTTTTGAATTTTTTTTTCGAAATTTTTTGGTTTTCAGTTGAAAAACATAAATTCTTGATAATATGCAACATAGGTAGTAGATTAAATTTACAAGAAAGAAACCCCAGAAATGATCCAGTGGTTCTAAAAATTTAAGTAATCATTTTTTTTTTATTTTCAAAATAAAATAATTCGGTTATTTTGGACTTGTTTGAAAAAAAGGTAAAAAAAAATATTTCTTTTATCGAGATCTACCTACCCTGAAAATATTTGCACTTATTTTTGACTCACCCTGTATAATATGAGAGTTCCCTAAAGATAATGCAAACACTTGAGAAGCTTTTAAATTGAAAATCATTTTTTTTAGTTAAGCTAGCTTGTTATATTTGTTCCGTACATGTATGTTAAAAAGAAACTAATAAAGTATATTAACAATATACTATACTATATTCCATATTAATATTACTAAATATTACTATTTTTTAAATGCTAAGGTAAAAAATTGAATATTTTATATAATTACTTGGCTTTTATTGATTTTTATTGTCAAAAATTTTTAAATGAGATACACTCCCCGGCAAACAAAAACCGGCCACTAAAAGTCCCAATTTCAAAGTTGGATTTCTCGCGAACCACTCATTAGATTTTGATGATTTTTTTTTAAATTGTAAATTAGTTCCTTCTTAACGGATGCTACGTCAGAAATTTTTATTCCGAATTTATTTTGAGCATATACAGGGCACAACAATAAGACGTGTTTTTTTGCCCGAACTTTGTAACACCCTGTAGGGTGCAGCAGCTGTCGTAGCTATTGCTAAATCAAATCGCATTGTAGCCTCATCTTTTGTGAGCATTTTGTTTTTTTAGTCATGACATTATCTCTGTTTGTGTTGGAGATACGCTGCTTTAAAACGAACGTCTCGGAAAAATGCTTCTTAGTCCATTGCTCAATATCCCAATTCACATGCAAACGCGCAAACTGAAGACGTGCTCGACGATATCTTGCAAGTAGCTGGGGTCCTGTGGCAGAGAAATCCAACTTTGAAATTGGGACTAGTTTTTAATGGCCGGTTTTTTTGCCGGTGAGTTTATATCCATTTATTATTTTTTACTATAATACCATTTATTATCATTTGCATTTATTGCCATTTGTTATAAAATCTGGGAAAAATAAGGTATAGTTATTTTATTTATGCTGTTTGCTAACCTAATTTTATTTTTTAATTGTATATATTTTATATATTATTTATTATACAGTATAATTTTTTACATCTTAAAATATCCAATTTTAAAAGAAATAATTACCTTTAGAAATCGCCTAAAACTAATATCATTTGTCGATGAGCATGAGCTATAAAAGTGGTAAATCTGTATTTTATTGCTTGAAAATACACATTAAGTTTGTATTCTAAAATTGGCATAAATAAATATACCGGGTGCGTCTCAGAAGTGACTCAACTTTTTTATTTTTTCGGATAAAAAAACAAGTGTTCGTATGTTAATAAATTACATAAATTAGGATTGGTTGACGTATTTAATTGTTTTCGGTCACTTCCTGTTTTACCGGAAATGATGAGAACTTTTGATTTTTAAATGTTACCGTCGGTATATTTCGATAGTAAATGACACTCTCAATAGAATGACATATCATCTGTGAACTTTTGACATTTTCGCTTAAAAAATCGTATTTTAAATGTCAATCTAGAGTACCATGGCTGCGGTTAAAACACTAATTTTTAATCAAGAACCCTTGGAAAAATAGATTTGATCGTCTAACGTTTTTCGTGTCTTGTCCTGACCAGTTAAAAGATGTCCAAACCCATTAGCATATTTTACCAATTAGCATATTTTAAAAAATATATTTTTTACGAACAATTTGGTACCAGACATTTTGTATTATGAGCCAAATTGTCGTTGTGAACCGCATGTTACAATTTCAAGTAAACAATATGCAAAAATGTCAAAAGTTGACATATTCTATTCAGAGTGTCATTTTCTACCAAATAAAATAAAAAAATACCGAGTGTGTCATTTAAAAATCAAACGTTGTAGTCATTTCTGGTGAAACAGGAAATGACCAAAAACAATAGAATACGTCAATCAATCCTAATTTATGTCATATACTAACAGACCAAATCTCTTTTTTTATCTGAAAAAATAAAAAAGTTGTACGGGTGAGCCACTTTTGAGACGCACCCGGTATCCTATATACATAATTTTTCATAACTTTGTTGGTTATGATTATCTTTTTATAATATAAAAAAGTATTTTTGAAATCTTTTTAATGACTTAAGCCTTTCCTAAAAAGACTGAAATCTTTTTCTGTTTCGGAAAGATAATCACAAATCATTCATAACAAATCAATTAACTATCGTCTTAAGTCAGCTTTCGAAAAATGACTTAAAATCATATGACTTAAATCATTAAAATGGTTTAAATAAAAAAAGACTAAAAAGACTAAAATTTTCTCTGAGCTTGCAGCTCTGCTGTACAGTAAGATGCAAAGCGCTAGAGACGTGAAAATTTGTCAAAACTTATTCAACAACTTACTTTATTTAATAACTTTGGTATGCGTATTTTCAACCACCTGAAATACAGATTTACCATTAGTTGTTTATAAAAGTTAAATTTACAGTTTCATGTTAAACAATAGCAAAAATTTTGTCGGGATTAAGTTAAACATATTTGAAACAGGTTTTAACTCCTGATATAATCACCCATGGATTCTTTTACCACGCCACACATTTTTAAACTAACTAACCTTTGAAAATGTTTAATCGAGACAAACGACGTGAAAAACAACGCATTGTCTCTTTTTTTCAGACAACAACACTGATCGGTCTCCTGAAAACAGCCAGACTATTGAGATTGGTAAGGGTCGCTCGTAAAATTGACAGATACTCGGAATATGGAGCGGCCGTTCTTCTGCTGCTTATGGCCACATTTGCATTGATTGCCCATTGGCTTGCATGCATATGGTAAGTACTAAACGTAGGAATTGTCTCGTTTTGCAAATATTGTCAAGCACAGTATTTATTTTACGATATATTAGGCTGACTTTACAAGGGAAGTTAAAAATGGAGACGGATTGATTACTTATTCCCATACCAATTCCTTCCATTTATCCCACTGCACTGTTCCTATTGCTTTAATCTCGGTAATTAATCGTTACGCTCCCTTGGTTTTGTCTAGCTTTGTTGATTTTGTCACGCTAGGTCAATACCACCAGAGTACCTATATAAATGTTCAATATGTGAATAATAGATTAGTTTAACATAATATGGTTAGATTAAATTTGAATGCGTTTATTGATACCATTATAAAACTTGATTAAAACTTGGCTTGGTGTATTTCACGCCGTCCCGGTTACAGTTCATGTTGATCGCATTAAAATAATATTGAAATCGTGGGTTTGTCATAATATTTAAATATTTTAGTTTTTTACTGTGCAGTTATTAAAACTATAAAAATAGTGCAGTTATTGAAACTATAAAACTCTCAGGTACGAGACTAGTGTGTTGTAACGTTGTTTCGGGTAGTAAAAAATAAGTGGAAAAAGAATCCGAACTAGGCGTCGTATTGTGTTGTGACAATTTCAAATGTTAATAAAATTGCCGAAAAAATGCTAACGCATAAAGGAGAGCGTAATTAGGGCATTGTTGGGTGCAATAACATTAAATAACTCAACTTTCCCGGATATTCAACCGTCCCGAACCAACATTTTATAGCTTCATACTTTGTACGAAAGAATGGGGGCTAACGAAAGACATGCTATTGCTATTATAACACTTTTATTAAGCATTTTTGCGATAGATGATTCTTTTTTAGATTTTGAGTTTGGTGTGTAAAAAAGAGGACTTTCGATACGTGAGAGAAAAAAGGACAGTACGTACAGTATAGACGACGCACACTGGGGCAGAATTGGCAATTTATATACAATAAGTATTAAAAACTAAATCTTCCTAATTCAGGTGAAATTAATGTATTGTTGTAGGCTATATGCCCCTGAATATTATATAATAATATAGGCGCTGAATCGACAGTGGTTGCTTAGAAATAGCCTTTGTTTTTGCGTATCAACTAAAATTGTTTCGATTTTCTTGAGCCGGCTTTTCAATTTACTCCTTTTTGTATTTGATTTTCTAGTAATAAGTTTATATTTATTTTAATAGCGGCATTGTTATTCGCTCGAATCAGGTAAGTAAATTAATATTCCTCTGGTTTTGATCTATATTACGCGATTATTCGAAGACACAAGAAAGTTGAAATAATGTAAGCCAAAAATTTGCATCCACTTAATTAAATTTGAAAATCACAAAGTAGTTTAGTTATGAATCTTTGTACATCCGCCTGATTTTGACATATATTATTTTTCCTCCATTCAAACAATTTAATATTATAACAAAAATGTTTGCCCGCTCTTGCCCCATTGTAAATTATTTTAAGTTTAATGAACCTATGAATAGTCGAAAAATTGATCATAAATTATCGCTAAATAATAATAAAAAGTTTTCTTCAGCAAGTATTGACATTTCTCTGCTATTTTCTTCTGGATATATGGTATAAAAATAGAAAATGGATGAAATACTATATTACGTAATGAGTACTGTAAAAATATATTACGGGCGAATAGAAAAGTTGCACACAAGGCGTGTGGGGATGGGTGTAGTATTGTATGGGCGCATTACTATATTTCTACAACAAGATTTGCGTACTAAACTTTACCTACGACCACAAATACTGCAAAAACATTTTCGTTATTAAAGTTTTTTAAATGTTTGGTATACAGGGTGCCACCTCTCATACTACTCAGAGTATACGGAAGCTCCAAGAAGAATGTCTGAATGAATGTTTACATTGAAATGCAATTTTGTAAGTAAATGTAAGTCAATTTAGAGCATTTTTTAAAAATATATAGAGTTCTATAAGGTGTCCCCAAAAAAAGTTACACATCAAAGTTGTATTTTTTGTAACGGAACACCCTATACAGGGTGTCCCAGAAATAAGTGCAAGTATTTTAAGGGGTGGTAGATCTCGATAAAAGAAACATATTTTTTCCTTATCATTTTTCAAACAAGTCTAAAATAACGGCGTTATTTTACTTTGAACATTTCAAAAAAAATATTTTTTGCTAAAATTTTGAGAACCACTGGATCTTTTCTGGATTTTCTTTCTTGTAAATTTAATCTACTACCTATGTTGCCATATTATCAACAAATTATGTTTTTTGACTAAAAACTCAATTAAAAAAAAAATCTATAAAAAATTTCCAAAAATTCCGAATTTTCATTTTTTTTCGCGAAAAGAAACTCATAAGCATGTTTCTGGGGTTGAACTATACTACCGGTTATAATACTTGCATTTATTTCTGGGACACTCTGTATATTAATTGATTTTCGGATTCTAGAAAGAAATAAAGGTGAGTTTCATTAGAGAAGCATAAGAATAAATGTAAGGTTTTTGATATATTTAACATTTTCTAAAAATTAAGACTATATTTTAAACTTCAGTAAATTCTACCTAAATTGGAATTTCTAATCTAATATATAGTTAAAATAACCGTTGTAAACTTTCGAAAAATGAAATGATTTTTTTATGTTTACCCGTCCTGTATAACAGTTATACTACTAAGCAATAGCCATTTTTTGATAAAAGTTGCTTTATAACCTGCTGAAATTAAAGTAATAAAAATATCTAAACTTTCGAAAAATAAAGTAATTTTTTTGTCGAGCCACCCTGTATAGTAGTCATACCGCTAAGCAATAGCCTTTTTTGATAAAAGTCACTTTATAACCTGCCGAAATTAAAGTAATAAAAATATATAAACTTTTGAAAAATAAAGTAATTTTTTTGTTGACCCACTCTGTATAATAGTCATACCGCTAAGCAATAACCATTTTTCGATAGAAATCACTTTATAACATGTTAATTATTCGTAAAATATATGTACACTATCACCCAAACTTTTTCGACATATTTAGTGAATCCTGCCCCACTGTGCGACGGTTGACAACGCTAATTTAAATCCGCGTATTTGTATATATCAGTTATTTACGATATTCTCCGACGGTGGCAGCACCGGCGGAGAATGCACCAAGCCTCTAAATCATAGCAAATCAACTTTTAGCACATGATTAAGCTTACATTAGCCGCATTACTATTATAGCAGCATTAGTCATTATTACTTAGCCGGTACAGCCTTGCCCACTTTACATATTTTCTTTTAATCAAAATATTTTAGGAAACAAAAATGAATTAATTATAAATATATAAACAGTTATTATTTACATCAACAAAACTCACCTCCTTAACAGCACTTAAGGGAAATAAAGGGCTATTACTACCGCTTGCCCGTTCAAAATATTCTAATAAGTTTGCACTGAGTTTTTTGCAACGGCTGTTAAGCTGCTTCGGCATCTGCTAATCCAAAAAATTCGTAATACAAAACTGAAGTGTCAAAACGAATCAAAAAAGAAAATAAATAAATGTGGCAACTTGGATATTTGAAAGTTACATGAACTACATTATCTACTTCGATTAACTACATGTAATGTAGTTTATGTTGTTTTTAAGAGTAACATGTAATTAACCAAACCCAGATAACAGCGCTCGGCTCAAGTAAACCTCCACCTTTACATTTCTGTTTTAGTGTCGAAATACACATCCTTTTTTCAAGTAATGAACTCGAGGCAAAAATAGTATATTATTCAACGAGCATATAATGGTGGCTGTTATTCACGCGGATGAAGTTTTTATCCAAGTGAATAACAGCCATTATATGCGAGTAGAATATACTATACTTTATCCAATCAAAAAATTTAGATAATATCAATATAAGTTTTTATTTTTAAAAAGCAACTTTTGAAACTCCCCATAGATAAATGCAAAAAGTGACAATTAAAACTTCAAATTTTTAAATCGAATTTTAGAGTAGAAAACGAGGGAATTTTAACATTGTTTCTTCGTAATGGTGTTTAATAATTTGTTTACATGTCGAGATATAACATGAGAGACTTATTATAAAGGAAAAAATATATTTTAAAAATCTTATGACAAGAAAAACAACTTTTAGAACACCCCATAGATGAGTGCAAAAAGTGACATTAAAAACTTCAAATAGCTCTTGTTTGGAGTTTGGATCAAGATATCCGTGGAAGCGGTGAATAATGAAACCATTATTCACTAGTGAATAATGAATATTATTGTTATTCCATAAACTCATGTATAATAATCAAATTATAGACGAGTCGTGGATAAAAGAAATTAATACCACATTAATAATACACAATAAATTATATATTTTTTTGTTTGACTTTGTTAGTCTTTAGTTTGACTTTGTTAACTATAGTCTGCAATTTTTCTTTATGCTTAGGAAAACAAATACAGGGTGAGTTTCCTACGATGTTCTCTATGGGTATCTCGGAAACTATTGGAGATAGAGAGTCGGTTAAATGGCGAAAGAATTGCAGTTTTGTGGGGTCATAAATATGCGCCTTTCAGATTTTTGAAAAAGTTCATGGCTTACTAGATATTTCGAAAAAAAAAATTTCTACTATTTTAAAAATTATCCCTAATTCCATTATAAGCTATTTTAGACAAAAACTTTTCAAATAAAAGTTGTAGATAATCACATCCTTAATGAGATCGTGTCCTCCGTTTTTTTCTAAAGCCTGTCATTTTTGACATATGACACAAACATATGCTTTTTTAAATGGAAACCATAGTTGGCCATGACTTCATAAAAATCGCAATTTTTTAACCTTTTTGGCGATATAAGCTATAATATGTTTTCTTTGAAAAATTACTGAGTTATAGCCAATTCTTATCATTTTTAAATAATTTCACTTAGTTAGCCATGGAAACAAGTTTAATCGTCTTTGCTCTCATAAATGTGAAGCTGTCACATCCAAACTTTGTAAATTAAGATAAACAAAAATTGTAAATATGAATTTTTCAAATGAAAAAAAGCGTGTAAGAT